GTCGCTGGAACAATTATTGTCACAATGTACATTAGCGCAACAATCAATGGAATATGAACCGATATCTGATGATGAACTGGCGGTTGTTCATGTACGAGATGAACGGCCGTCAGTAGTGGAAGATCTATCCAATGATAATGAAGAACAGCAACTGCTGGTTCATGTAGAATATGAACCACGGACTCCATTGGCACATCAATTGTTTACAGGTGAGTTATCAATACACGTTGATGAACCACTAACACCTTTATTTTTTCATTCACCACCACATCGTACATCATTATCAACGCCTCATGTGCCTGAATCATCATCCCACTCATCATCACATCGACCATCATTGACAAAAAAGCAGCGGAAGAATCGCAAACGTCGAGCCAGAAGGTATGATTTTGAAGTAATTCGACATCTTTATAAAGATTTTACAATTACCAATGTCAGACGAATCCTCATCGATATGAACATCCATTGGGTTAATTTCAACATCGTTGGACATGTATTATTCATTGGATTAAAAGATGAACGAACAAAACAATGGGTCGAAGAAATGTTACATCCAAATATGTTCACACATGATCATTATCGACGCATTCAAACGAAGTCCCGTCGCCGCTGAACTTCGACACGTCCTTATCTCGATAACGTAGCCGTTGTGAGCACTTCACTTCCATTTTGTGTATTGTCAACTAGTCAGATATAATGTGTTTTTCACTGTTTCCATCGTCATTTGCATCGTGCACAGTTATCAAGTTTGTTTTGAACTTATGTCCATCAGACTATAATAATAAGTTCTTAAGTCGCACTCTACCGGTGGTTTCTTAAGTCGCATTTTTTTTCTATATTTCCTTGCAATTTGTTTTGAAACAATTTGTTTTGAAACAAAAAAAAACATTTTTTCTTTTTCGTGTTTGCCTTTTGTTGCTTGTATTTGCATTTTTGTTACCTGTTATCTCACTAGTATAAAAGAAATCTCAAACCCACCTTAAGCATCACTATCATTTTTCAATGTTTAATTTTATGTGTGAGGACACACATCCTTCGCTGCGGGCAGGATTGTTACAGGCTATCAGCCTTCACAGCTACGCGAAGATATATTCTTTTCTTTTCTAGTGATATTGCCTTTTTCATTTAGTTCGTTTTATCATACATCTATACATACATGTGACCATACATATACACATACGTATGAATTTCTCTTTTCTTCTCTTTTATTCATTCTAATCATTCACCCTTTTATTTAGTTGATACAGATAAATATATAGACGAACATTGTCATCGTTCGAGGAGTTCTTTTTCCTTTCGTTGTTTTATTTCTGTTTTTTTAAATAAACTCCAAATGATTTATTTCGAACTTCGCACTATCCCCTAATAGTATGCAATCGTATTTAAACAATCATATATATCAGATCATCAATCATCAAAGGCACCAAGTTATAAACAGATAAATAGTCATCTTATTTGATAAATTCATTAATTATAATAATTAGGTGTCGTTTATCTTTTCTGATGATTTAATCCCATTAAAATAAGGTTGTTCTAAGAACAAAACAGTTACAAGTATATAAACATGAGTATTCGTTATCGGAATTACTGCTTATCAGTTATATTCAAACATGTCTCTACTCCTGTCGAATTTACCACTACCCCAAAAGGTCGTCCTTTAACGATACTGGACGGTTACCCATACATTCAAGGTCGTCAAACCGACGAAAAAACTTATTAGCGTTGCGAAAATCATAAAACTTTTAATTGTCATTATCGTATACATACATGTAATTCTACTAATAGTCAAACACACGTCACTATAATTAATCGAAATGGCATTCACACAACCATTTGTAATCCAATCGAAATATCACTAAGAAAATTTCATGAAAATGTTGTCGACCGTGCAAAAAATACAGATGAGAACTAATGATTCTGCCGAGGCGTGGAACAGACGGATTGGTAAGTCTACAAATATAAACCTAAAATCTGCTTTCTGTTCACGAACACTTTTCTTTTTCAGGATGCGTTTTTCAATGTTCACATCCCACTCTGTGGAATTTATCGAAAGAATAATTTTAGAGGAAAATTCCCATATTCATACTAAAACAGCACGAGTCAATGCCGGCGAAGAAGTTTCGAAAAAGAAAAAGTATCAACATCTAGATGAACGGTTATTCAATCTTGTTTCTAATCCCCATCAGAATACTATTGACCAAATCACCGCAATAGCATATAATATTAGTCTATAATACAGGATTTTCATTTCACTTATAAACACTAGTAGAATTACATGTATATAAACGATAATGGCAATTAAAAGTCTTAGGATTTTGTAATGAAACAACGTTATTCTGATATTGATGGTGAACGCATGAAACTATTTGATCCAGTCGAAGGCTATCAAAAGTTACTCTTGTTGTCATTGGAAGAATCTGTCACATCCCAATCGACTCTGATTAAAAGACGAGTTGGACGACAAGTTTGGATGGCAAAAGAAAACCGCCAAGATCTATGCGACAGTTTAACGCAAGATGAAGCTGCTGCTATTTGTTTATACACGATGGAATGGAAGGCAAGTTACCGAGGTCTTTATTATCACCTAAATCAAACATTACGTTCAAAAGAGAGAGCACAACGAATCAAAGTTTGGCTGCCCTGCTTGAAACTTGTTGTCATAGCTTTATACAAGTTGCCGTCGGTGAAGCAGGCAGTATGGTGAGGTATCCAACTAGATTTGAGCGCCTCTTGTAAACGAGGAAGGAAATATCCGTGGTGAGGTTTCAGCTCGTGTACAGAGTCAATTGAAGTTCTACAATCGAAAGAGTTCCTTGGCAAATCTGGCACTCAGACCATGTTTTGTATTGAATGTGAGAATGGCAAACTGATTACACCATATTCTCATTTTCCAGCTGAAAATGAAATTCTCGTACTTCCAAGCAGCTATTTTGAAGTGCCAGGCACGAATGAGTTTCATGATGGTAAAGCCGCCAGATGCATTAATAGAACCACCATTTTTGCTGATCAATCGATGAACCAGAGAGCGACAAGTGGTATGAGCGTCGAACAAATGAACGATAATAAAGGTATTCTCCAGAAAGTAGAAGCAATGTAATGCGTGTGTCTCCTAGCAGACATCTTGCATGGTTATACTGTGAAGAAAACATGTGTAACTAGACTAGGATTCGAAGCCAAGAGCTTGACATTCCGTCTCAATGCACTAACCCCTGAGCTACCCGGTCGACATCCCTATCCGTCACACACACCTCTTAGATGCATAAGATAATAATCACAGCCGATCGAGTTCAAATTTATACCAGAGATAGTAGAGCGAAAAAGAAAATCGATGTATTTTTGCTCAGAATTTTGTGACATGATCTTCTATGGGTTTTCTGGAAAACTTGATTTTGTGTGGCTTTTAGCATTTTTCTTATAGTCAGCATTTCCGCATTTGGCAACAAGGTAAAACAAGACGGGGCGGGGTACCCCTAAGAGTCAATCGAATATCGCTGTTCGAAGTACTGGAAATTTGTGCTATGTCAATATTTTCTATCATACTTAGCCAAAAGATAGTCTCCTCATCATCACAAGGGGAAAAGAAAGGTTTACGTCTCAACGACAGATACAGCTTTAGGATACGAAAAACTCAGAATAATCATCACTTTATGTGTTCCATGATGTAGTCTAATTGGACATGCAACAGGATCTACGAAAGATGCGCACGAGAAACTTGCGCACGGGTCGGTTGCGCACGTAATAACAAAGTCTTATTTTATATTTGTATTTATTACACATTCCTAAGACTTTTAATTGCCATTATCGTTTATATACATGTAATTCTACTAGTGTTTATAAGTGAAATGAAAATCCTGTATTATAGACTAATATTATATGCTATTGCGGTGATTTGGTCAATAGTATTCTGATGGGGATTAGAAACAAGATTGAATAACCGTTCATCTAGATGTTGATACTTTTTCTTACGATGTTGTTTTCTTTTTCCACGATGTATTGAAATCGAAAACGAATACAAGTGTCTATGTCCAGCATATTTTGAAGGCGAACACTGATAAGCTGTTTTATAGTTAACGCATAGCACGCTAACATTAGCACAAAATTTGTGTTTCAGTGAAGAGGATCAACGCAATTGTTTGCGACATTCTTTTTGCAGAACTTACTGGTGTGCTGGTTATTTACAAGTATTACGATCGTAATGAGTAGAACTTTTCCTATTTGCCTTTGTGCTTTCGCTACTTCTGTTTACTTCGTTGTGTATTATTCGTGATTTCTCTAAAGTGAAATCATGTTTCTTGTTGTGTTTTTTTTTAGAATAAATTTCGAAACATACTAGCAGTCCAACTTCGACTAATTAAAAGGCATCCGTTTAGGGGTGGCACTTTCTCTTTCCTACCTCCTTTTTTTATTAACAAAAGAAAAGTTTTTCTTTTTCTTTTTCTTTACAACAAAAAAGAGTAAAGATATAATGCATATCTCTTCTTTCGTAAGAAAAAGGGAAGTGGCACCTTTTCTTTTCCAAAAGAAAGAAAAGCGATATCTTTTCTTTTTGCAAGAAAA